AATGTAGCTTGCGCCAACAGTTGTACACGGAAGCAGCTCCAGGCGGATGACGTAAGAGTTCAGCGTTCAATAATCAATAATTTATTAATTTTCCAGCTTATCATGCGGCCACTTGCCTGATAAGTAAATAATGCTGTGGATGCGACGTGACGTGACACGACAAATCCATGACAGTAAACTGATACCCCGTTCTATTTCTGACGAACTCCAGCGCTCTGACACAAAGAACAATTTCAATTATTCATAAGAGAATCGTGAAAAAATTGTTTCCTCAAAAATATGAAGCAGCCAACTGTTTTCAGCATTAAAATAATCAGAAATGGTTACTGAGCAGCAAAACAGCATATTAGAATGATTTCTGAAGGATCATGTGACACTGAAGTAATGATGCTGAAAATTCAGCTTTGATCACAGGAACACAGTAGCCTATATGTTAAAACATTCAAATAGATAATTTAAATTGACAATATTTCACAATATTAGTGTTTACTGTATTTCAAAAATAAATAAATTGTAGCCTTGGTGAGCATAAGAGACTTTCAAAAAAAAAAATATTGTGTGTAAAATATTGTGATATGAATTTTAGCTCATATCGCCCACCCCTAACCAGCACTTGTTTTTTTTTTTAATCAATGTAGAATTTCTATACCTCTGTGTGTTGACCTGATCATCATTGTTTTGTGTGTTAAACACAATCTACTAAATGACAATGACAGTTTATTTATATAGCACAATTAATTACGACTTCCGTTGACCAATGTGCTTTCCAGCAAGTCATCAAAAACAGAAAAACACACAAAAAACAAACAGAAAAGTTATAAAATCATACAAATATCCCATCAGCCATACGCTTTAAAGAATAAAAAGGTCTTTAGCCTGGACTTAAAAATACTAAGAGAAGAGGCTTGTCTAATAGATAGTGGCAAGGCATTCCAAAGCCTGGGGGCAGCAACACAGAAAGCACAATCTCCCCTACATTTAAGCCTCGACTTCATAGTAAACAATAGATCCTGGTTGGAAGACCGAAGGAATCTAGAGGGTTGATACTCAGTCAATAACTCACAGAGATAAGTGGGGGCCAAATTATTTAGAGCTTTGTAAACAAGAAGCAAAATTTTAAAATCCACTCTAAAACGGACAGGCAGCCAGTGTAGTGAGCGTAAAATAAGAGTAATATGCTCCATCTTTTTAACCCCACTCAGGAGTCGAGCCGCAGCATTTTGAACAAGCTGCAAACGGGATAGAGCTGTCTGGCTAATCCCAAAATAAAGTGAGTTGCAGTAGTCCAGCCTAAATGAAATATAAGCGTGAATTACTTTTTCAAAATCTTTAAAAGAGAGAAAAGGCTTTGCTTTAGAAAGCAAACGCAGCTGAAAAAAAGCAAGCTTTGACAACTGAATTTATTTGATGGTCAAACTTTAAGCCATCATCAAAAATGAAACCCAGGTTTTTTACCCATGGGTTCAAGCACAAAGACATCCCACCCAAATCCAATTTCGGGGAATTTGAAAACTCAGACGAACTAAAAATAATAATTTCAGTCTTCTTTTCATTGAAAATTAAAAAGTTTAATGAAAGCCAAGCCTTCACATCCGCCAAACATGCCATGAGAGACTCAAGATTTACATTTGACAGGCAAATAAACCTGGGTGTCATCCGCATAACAGTGAAATGACAAACCATGTTTTCTAAAAATCGAGCCAAGAGGGAGCATATAGAGAGAAAAGAGCAAAGGAGCCAAAATAGAACCCTGGGGAACACCACAGGGCAAAAAAGCACAACTCGAGTAACGTTCACCCATCTTGACTGAAAAACTTTTATTTGTAAAATACGATTTAAACCAATCTAAAGCTACACCTCTTAAACCAACGCAATGTTCTAAACGATCAATGAGAACAGCATGATCGACTGTATCGAAAGCGGCCGTCAAGTCTAAGAGCACAATGACTGCAAAATCACCCGATTCACATGATATTAAAATATCATTAAGAACCTTCAAGAGCACAGTCTCAGTAGAAAGACATTTACGAAAACCTGACTGAAATATTTCAAACATTGAGTTATCAGCAAAAAAACTTTGTAACTGAAAACACAATGTTTTCCAGAATCTTGGAGACAAAAGGCAGATTAGAAATAGGTCTGAAGTTTGTTAAAACTGATGAGTCCAGATTCTGTTTTTTAAGCAGTGGGTAGACTACTGCATGCTTTAAACAGTCAGGCATAATTCCAGATTCTAAACTGCAATTAATTATGATCAGAAGATACAGAGCAACATCAATAAAAACTTGCTTAAATAAAAAAGGGTGAAGAATATCCAAAGACGAGCCCGAATGCTTATCTGTTCAACTATTTCCAGCAAATCTGAAGCTGATACTAGTTTAAACTGACTGAAAAAGATAGTGGAGATAGAGGGGTTAGACGGGTTAAAAAAAGAGGGAGTCATCCCCAACCAGAGATCCCTAATCTTACTTTCAAAAAATAATAAAAATTCTTCACACGATGGAGAAGAAACCCCAGGAAAAAGACTAGAGCAGTTGGCCTAGAGCAGTTCTTGTTAATAATATCTGACAAATGTCAACATTTTGCTTTTTTCACCGCTTTCTGATATTTAAAAAGAGAGTCCTTTAAAATCTCAAAAGAAACATGAAGCCTGTCCTTTTTCCACTTGCGTTCCGCTCTTCTACAACATTGTCTGAGAGAACGAATAGAGTCATCAATCCATGGTTCAGAGCGGGTTTTAGACTGGAGAGTCCTTAAAGGGGCCATATACACCCCCACCACCAACTGTATTGTGATTCGTTTAACATCTCAACTGAAAACAAAATAATTATAACTAAATAAAACAATTAAACACTAATGGCTCGTTTCCACTGAGCGGTACGGTTTGGTACAGTACAGTACGGTACACAATTATGTCCGTTTCCACTGTCAGAAGTTGTGAATGGTACCAAAATAGCGAACCATACCGTACCACTTTTTTGGTACCCTTCCGTTGGGGTACCTAGCACAGCAAAGGGTACCAAAAGGGTGGAGCTAAACTCACCAAATTGATAAAAAAAAAAAAAAAAAAAGATCTTTTGTAGTATGAGTAGACAACTTCTTTTTAAAGAAAATAACAAATTAAAAAATATATAATCATAATCTATGACAGACAGCCGCAGCAGAGAGAAGAGTTTCTGTGAACTTGAATTTAGCGACTTAAATATTCATACTTCACATTAAACTATGGAACGGCTCCAGAACACTTGGAATACAGTGCACGAGAACTTTATGGTGCTTTATAATGTTTTTTTTTGCCTTTCGTGGGGCTTAACAACACAATAGTACAAGCAGAATATTGGATTTGGATCGGTCTCATCTGACCGATACGGCAGAAAATACAAGTATCGGAGCCGATACCGATACTGAGTATTGGATCGGTGCATCCCTACTTGTAATGTATGGGATGATATTAGACTCAAAATGATTAATAGATGCAAGCACAACTATCCATGTACTGCATAAATTTTATACATGTATCTTACTAACCACAAACAAATGCCTTTCAATTTCTGTCTGTGGAATTCGGGATTAAATGATTGTGTAGTGATTTGTACAAATATAGTTTTAATCAATTATTTTTTATTAAATGCCGTTATTTTTTTTTTATGTACACTGTTGACATTATAACAGTTTCATTCTAACCTCAACCAAAACCCTGCCCTCTAAAGATATGTGAGCAAACCTGAATCTGTACAATGATTGACAGGCAGGGGGCGGGACACCACCCTGACAGCTGTTTACAGAGAACTGGGCTGTGATTTCTCAGGACACCTATATCAGTGATATCTGTCAGGTAGGGAGGTTATTTCTGCTTTTTCAAAAACAAATCACCTGCAGTAACTTTAATTATGAAAGTTCAACAAACATTTCATTCATGAGTGAAACATGAATGTGGACAACGGAGCAGTGCAGCAGCAAAACTTTACATATTACACATGTTTGATAAAGTCCATTAAGAGGGAGACATTTTTTATAATAATCTGTTTTTGCAGATTTGCAGTTCAGCGTTTGGTTTTCCTGTCTTGAGAAAAAAAAAAAGAATGTTTTAGTGTTTAATTAAAACTTGATGACATTCCGAAGCATTTATTGTATGCGTAGACAAATAGGACAGGAGGCTGTCTTTGCAACGTTTTAATGTATCAAAATTAATTTGCTATGATTTAATATTACATTTTAATATTCAATGTATTGTTTGCATAAAATATTAGAATTTTACATATGTGACCCTGGACCACAAAACCAGTCATAAGGGTCAATTTTTTGAAATTGAGATTTACATTTTTTATATATTGAGATTTATATTTGACTGAATAGATGAGCTTTCCATTGATGTATGGTTTGTTAAGAATAGAACAATATTTGGCCGAGATACAACTATTTGAAAATCTGGAATCTGAGGGTGCAAAAAAATCTAAATATTGAGAAAATCGCCTTTAAAGTTGTCCAAATGAAGTTCTTAGCAATGCATATTACTAATCAAAAATTAAGTTTTTATATATTTACGGTAGGAAATTTACAAAATATCTTCATGGAACATGATCTTTACTTAATATCCTAATGATTTTTGACAAAAGAAAAATGGTATAATTTTGACCCATACAGTGTATTGTTGGCTATTGTTACAAATATACCCCAGCGACTTAAGACTGGTTTTGTGCTCCAGGGTCACAAATGGCTTTTATCACGCGTTACTTTATTGCTTCTGGTTATGACACATTGTTGGATTTAAAAAGACTTATTTTTTTTTGAATTTTATATTTTAATTTATTTAAAAGTTTGAGGTCAATCCTTTTTTTAAATGTTTTTTATGCATTCATTTGATCAAAAATACAGTAAAAATAGTAATACTGCACAATATTGTTACAATAACCATTTTCTAATGTTAATATATTTTCAAATGTATTATCCAGTCTTCAGAGTCACATGATCCTTCAGAAATCATTCTAATATGCTGATTTGATGCTCAAGAAACATTTCTGATTATTATCAATGTTGAAAACAGTTGTGCTGCTTCACATTTTTGTGGAAACCGTGATTTATTTTTCAGGATTCTTCAAAAACAAAGTTCAGAATGCTCAAAAGTATTTATTTGAAAGAAATCTTTTGTAGCATCGTAAATGTCTGCTGTCACTTTTCATTTTTGTGGAAACTGTGATTTATTTTTCAGGATTCTTCAAAAACAAAGTTCAGAATGCTCAAAAGTATTTATCTGAAAGAAATCTTTTGTAGCATCGTAAATGTCTGCTGTCACTTTTGATCAATTTAATGCATCTTTACTAAATAAAAGTTCCCAAACTTTAAAATGGTAGTGTATTAATTAGGCTAAGGCTGATGGACAGGTGTTCTTTGCCAGTAAAATGGCTTAATTCAATTGTTTATTGCATATATGCACAGTATTAATCTTAAGAATCAAGCTCATCTTCAAATTTTAGAGATGAATGGTTTAGTTATTGTGTCAAAGTAGTAAAAAAATAAAACTATTTAACAGTCTCTTAGCATGAACACACATACATTACAGACACACAGCAGTACCTGAAGAGCTCCTGATCGGTGGCAGAGTCTCTGCACCAGCTTTCAGCTGAGCCTAAAACATGACAGAGACGTTTACACTTGCTCTCTCTGCCTATCTTCATCCATCTCTATTCAACAAATACAAAATCCTCTTCCTCCTCCGCTGTATTTCCCTGCAAACACTCATCACGTGCACATGTCAGTGTGATGCTCACCTGTGTAGAGAGCACAGTCTCTGTGTGTGTGTTTCTCTGGCCAGTGGACGGTCAGGTTGTGTTCATTACTTATATCACTGACGGAGCCGGGAGGAAGATCACACAGCTGACAGAGACAGTTAAAGATCTGTGTGTGAGTGTATGGATAAATAAAACTATAGATCAAGTGCTTTAAAATGAAAGGAAGAGCTCATTATATTAAAAAGCATCTGAAACATTCTGATAAATGTCTTCTTTTGTCATACAGGTTAAAAGGAATAGTCCCCCCAAAATGAAAATGTGCTCAAAATGTGCTCACCCTCAGGCCATCCAAGATGTAGATGAGTTTGTCCGTTTTTAAGAAATTAATCAGTCATTATGGCATTTTAAACTTCAAACTGTTGTTCCCATTGCTAAAATACAAGTCCATAATCCACACTATTGATTTCTCCAGTGAAAAGGTAATCTTGTCTAAACAGGAATTTAGAAAATATGATCAGATCAATCACTGTTTACAAGCCAAAAGAGTCCAAAACAGTTCTAAACAAATATATGGATAGATTTTGTTGTGAGAGGAAAACAGGAGATTGACTTTTTCACTGGAGGAAGCGTTATTACGGATTATGGACTTAAAATGTCTTTGTTAAAATGCCTTAATGATGGATGTGTTTGTTACAAACATGCAGCTTTTGGCTTTACAAGACATTAACTGATGGACTGGAGTGGTGTGGATTGCTTGTGGATTATTGTGATGTTTCTATCAGCTGTTTGGACTCTCATTCTGACGGCACCCATTCACTGCAGAGCATCCT